GGGTTTAGTTAACCTTGTCCTCTCAATTTGTTAGGCCAGGCTAGTTTTATCTCACGTTTTATTTAATATACTTCCAGGGTACCATCCCTATTATATTATTAAAAAAAAAAAAAAAAACTTAGATCAAATCAACCAATTAATAAAATTTAACCTAATTAATTAATTAAAACTAAATGAAATCAACTAATTAATCAAAATTAACTTAATTAATTAATTAATCCTAAATCAAACAAACAATTTATCAAATTTAACCTAATTAATTAATTAAACCTAAATCAAATAAACCAATTAATCAAAATTAGCCTAATTAATTAATTAATTATACCCTATCCAAAAAATGAAATAAACAATCCATATATTTTGTTGTATAAAGCTTGAAGGATAGCAATCATGCCTATGTTATATGCATGTAGTTGGGATCCCTCAGAATAAATTAAAAAAAAAATGGAGAGAATCTTTATAATTTTTTTTCTACCAATTTATGGAGGTTTCAGGATATTTTCTTGCAGATAGAAGCTAATGTAAGTCTCTCAAAATCCTTGTAACACCGAACCATGGATAATTGATGGGAGATCACGGATCATATAGCATGCAATTTTGACTTTATCGTCTCTTTAAATTTATTTATTCCACCTGTTCAAATTAATAATGGAGATTATACACTAGTTCGAGATTTGAAAAGAATAAATTACGTATTTGTCTTTTTAGTTTTGAAAAAAAAATAATAATTAATTTTTTTCTCAAAAATTAATTATTTAGTCCATTCACTAGTGTGGATTATGCTTAATTTAATATTATTTTATTCTACAAAAAATTCTTTTTCATCAATCAATCTATATCTATTTTTCCCTTTTTCTATTTTAAAAAATAAAAAAGAATATAAAATCGACAAAATCAACTAAATAATTATTTTTTAAAAACGAAAAGACTAATTAATTTATTTTTTAAATAGAAAGAACTAATTTATAATTTACTCATTAAGAAAAAAAAAACTTGACTTAAATATGACAAGACTATTGTCATAACTCAAAATTTAAGTCACATTTTATTTTTTATCTTATTGTTTAGTCTAATAAGAATTATTTTTTTATTTATTTTTAGTATTATTAAAATTTAATTTCAGAAAAAAAAAAAGAGAAAAAACAGAAGAAAACAAATAAAAAGGAGAAACACATAAACTAAAATTGGAAGCAAATAGGGATCTAATTACATTAAATTGAATTGGAATTGAAAGCCAATGAGGATTAAACCGAAAAACAAACCAAGATCAAATTAGGGGCCTATTTGATAGAAAGTTAAGGATGCAATTATAATTTAAAAAGTCTGGGGACTGTTCTTTAATTCGAGGAATGAAACAGTGAATTGAACAATTCACTGCTTGATTCGAATTTTCGTAGGAATTTGAAAACCAGAAATGGTTTTCGTTTGCAGATTTGTTGAATCCCAGATCCGATTCCTTCCTAGCATATAATCCCCCTGATTGAACCACAATCCACGCTGCAATAATCAAGGAAATTTGGTAACGGAAAGAGAGAGATACAAGGGAGGGAAATCTGGAAATTGAAGAGGAAATCAATGTACTTTAGGCTATAAATAGGCTGTTTGAACAGGTAGAAAGGAAGGATGAAAAGAGGAGAGATTCGGAGTTGGGAGGGAAGGAAAATCGAGAGTAGAATTCGAGGAATTTTTGAAATCTTTGGTGGCCATTTCTGGGTTTTCTTTCTGGGCAGTATTTAGAGTTCTTCGTTTCGGGGATTCTGTTCTTCGATTGTGGGACTCTATAATTCGTTCTTTTTGTTTCTTCTGACTTTCGTTTCGAGTCTCATAGGTTATCGACTTGATTTTCTTTGTTTTTGGGATCCAATTGGCACTCTCTGGGTTTTCCTCCACAAAATTTCTGGGCAGCCACTTGGTGTTCTTCAATTTTTTTCTGGGTTGCTTTTTGAATTTCTGGGCAGAGATGAACGTTGCTGAATTTTTTTTTTCCAGTTTGCAAATTCTGAGTTTTGATTTCGATTTCTTGGGTTCATTTAAGTCATTTGAATAGGGGAAACACCAAGAATCCATAAACATTGGTCAATCCATTTTTTGGGGTTTTGGGAATTCCTCAGAAAACCAACAACCAATGTTCTAGTCATTCCATCAAGATCGAATCCGTTTTAAGCTTATAACTATCCACATCAACAACAATCACCTTATTTCCAGTCCCAATTTCAGTCTGCAGAATCAATAGTGACAACAACACAAGTCGAAGCATCCTCATTCAAAATCAATCAAACCTGCAAAATTGACAGCAACGACATTAACAATCCCAAAAAAAATTGTCCTTCATTCCTTTGTTTTTTTTTTTTTTTTTATGCCCAGGTAATCCTACTGCCAAAACCATTCCATTTTTTTTCCTATATTAATTCTTCAGCTGTTTGAATTCGGAATAGAAAAGAGAGAGAGAGAGAGAGAGAATGGGACGCTAGTTCCAGGGAAGGCAGGGTTGATGAACGAGAGAGAGAGGGAGAGCAGGAGAATAAAGAAAATGATAACTGAAAGGGGCTGGACTGATTTCAGCCCAACCCAGTCCGCTCTCCCTTTCGAAAAATGTAGGGCAGTCCAGCCTCTCTCGGGAAAAAAATATATATATATAGTAGTAGGGAAGAAGAAAGCAAAAAATAGAAAAATAAACATAAAATGTTAGGTTTTGTATGCGTAGTGTTTTATATCTAATTTAAATATTTAATTTGCCTTTAATCATTGTAAATAATGTAATTTTAAATTTGTTGCATGAATGCTGGTTATATTTAATTTAATATTATCTGTAATTATTTTAATCAAGGTAATTTTAGTCTTTATTGATTTTATGCATGTTTTGTTATGAATTTAGCTTCTTCTTTTTTTTTTTTTTAATTGTCTTTAATTTACTTAATCAATATAACTTTATTTTATTTGTTTAGAAATTAGGTTTAGTAAGAAGTAGGTGGAGGATTGTCGAGTCTCCTAAATTTTAGGGATCGATAATAATCTTTTATCAACAAATAAATAAAAAAATATATAAAATCTTTCACGAAGTCTCTTATCCGATAGGACTATTGTTTAACACAAGTAATAAAAAAAAGACAATAAAAATAATGAAAATTCTCAACAAAGTCTCTTATCCGATACTGATCGTTATTTGACCAAAAAAATAAAATTTGTGATGAGGTCTCCTATCCGATAGGAATTGTCGTTACCATAATCATCATTTAATCGGGATATTCTTCGACACGTCGGTTGTGTTGAGGCTTAAAGTGGATTTGATGTTTGAACTGACATGTCGTCCGATAAAGGAGATAAACAATCGTTTCAATACGATGTCGCGCCTAAAACTAAAAAACTTAATTCAATTTGAAAATTGAAGTTTAAATCAAAAATAACTAAACATAAATAAAAATATTTTAAGAAATGAATTTAGGACTCGAACCAAAATATGATACCTTTTGTTGGAAAGAGCAATTTTGGGTGGTTAAAAACCTTCCCAAAAACATAATCAATTCCTTATCTTAAAATCTTTAAATCAGCTTATCATTTTAGATTTTTAGTTCCTTCAATACTAGATGGTGATTTCAAACTCGTAAATAGTTCATAAATAGAACCATCTAAATCTAACCATTAGAATTTTGTTTCGGAGTCTTACTATCCCACTTAAGCAGGAGAGTGTTTTGGATAAGATATCGGCAAGCATATAACAAAGGGAGGGCGTTTATCCACGGTGCTATCGAGTCCGCGACAAATGCATATAGGAAACGAGTCCCAAACAGACCTAGCCGGCTTCCTAAGTGCAAGATCTCAAGAAATGAAGAGAGGTGGGTCCATGTTTCGGTCCGCTTGGGAAGAACTTCGTGGAGCCCACTTGTTGTTTGGATAAGAGTGGAAAGGAAAGGAAAGAAAATATATTTCCCTTGTTTGGATAATTGTAAAAAGAGAAAGAAAAGAAAATATATTATTATATATTTATTATAATACCCCGTGATTATATTTCTATATTTAAATACTTATAATAAATTTGTATGAATATTTGTTTTTATAATTATCTCATAATTCTTTTTGGAGTCCTAACCCAAAATAATAATCCGAGTATGAAGAATAAAAAATTATTGTATTTATAATTATCTCATAATTCTTTTTAGAGTCCTAACCCAAAATAATAATCCGAGTATAAATAAATATACTATCCAAAACAAATAAGAGCATAAAATTCCCAAATTTTAGTGGAAATAAACAAAAAAATCAAAATTTAATCATGTGGTTCATATTTGCTAATCCATGATGTCATGACAAAATTTAGCATAAAAGAATGCTAGAAGCCGGTACGTTTCCAAGCTCCTTACGACAATTTGCCTACTACAATTAGAGTTTGACAAAAAGAATCAAAATCAACAAATCCACATGGTAAGTAATAATTTAAAAAAAAAAAAACATCGACAGAAGTCGTTATATTATATTTTATTAAATTATTAATATTGTAAAAATCAACTCGGTTCGGACAGTCTCTATCTCTCTCTATCTAACGCGATCTCTTTTGTTCTCTTCACGAACTCTCAAATTTAATATCCTTTTCTCACTTTTTCGCTTCTTAGATTCATTTTTGTATTGGGTTTCTTTTAATTTTGCTTCTTCATTCTCTAGAGTTCAAACTTTGAGGATTTGTTGCTTTAATCAATCACTTCGTCTCTCCCTCTACCGTAGCTTCAATGTTTCGCCCATTTGAAGCTTTAAAATCTCTTCTTTAATAAAGTCCCAAAACGAAGGAAAAACCCATCGAGAAAACATGAGGGGTTCGTGCACTCTTGTTGCCTCCGTTGTTGCTCGCCTCCATCGTAGCTTTATCTTCATCAACCCCATCTTCTTCTTTGCCTGTGGTTGAGGTTTTTTTTTTTTTTTTTTGTAGAAAATGTTATAGTACTTTATGTGAATCCTAACTGTTGATTTTTTTTTTCGGGGGTGTGAAGGATTCATCAAGATCATCATCAATGGAGAAAAATAATGGGTCTAATCGGGAGAAATTCGCACCAAGATTTGATGAGTTAAGGTTCATCGAGACCCTTGTAACAGCTCACGAGATAATTATAGAGTTAATCGTCAATTAATGTTGCTATTTTTGTTATTTTGAGGGATTAAGATGTGATTAAAGAGGAAAAAAAGAGTTTGTGTTTGCAGAGAAGGGAACGGCTAAGGCAAGGGCAAAACTGTAAAAATGAAAAAAACATTTCTTCCCTCTGGTTTTTCTCCCCGTTTCCTCCCAAATTTGGGAGGAAAATGGGTCCCATCATTTTTACTTTCTTTAATATTTTTTTTCTTTCCTCTGGTTTCCTCTATAATACAAACGGGGAAAATTTTTCATTTTCATCCTATTTTCTTTCCTCTCCCCCGTTTTCATCCTTATCCAAACCGAGGGTCAGGATTGCTTGGGATGTTCTTGTCCAAGAGGTAATCATCGTCTCACCAAAAAAAAAAAAAAAAAAAAGTTCTGCTAATTTTCATGTGTGTGTGTGTTGGAAGAGTCTTTTTCCATTTTGCCTTGGCCAGACCAAAAAGCAAGAAAACACAATGCAGCAGGTGGTATGATTGAATCCAGAGCTTATAAGACCTTATTATGAAATGTCACTGGTCATTATTATTCCTATTAAAATCCAACCGTTGAATGCAATAGTATCTAGCCATCCATTTGTTGATCTCCATGTCGGCAATATGATAGCTGTTCGCAAATGGGCAGGCCATATTATTGACCATCGTAGATTTAACACAAGTGCTGACTTGGTGTAGCACAATACAATCATAATATACTTTCTTGTCTAGACAACAAACTCATTTCTGTATGCATTACATCATTGTATGTATCTAGACAACAAACTCATTTCTGTATGCATTACATCATTGTATGTATCTAGACAACAAACTCATTTTTAAACTCGTAAATAATTTTATAAATATAACCATCTAAATCTAACCATTAGAATTTTGTTTCGGGAGTCTTACTATCTCACTTAAGCAGGACAGTTTTTCGAAACAACAAATGCATACCACAACAGCAAGTATTCTGCATTGATATTGCCAAGAAGGCAGTGCGCACAACAATATGATAAAGTTGGGAACTAGCAAACAGACAAACCCAAAGAATGGAAAACAAATCATGAAACCAATTACATCTCATTATTTATTTATTTTTTTAATCCTAGGAAAGTTACTGGGAATATAATTGAATGAGAAACAGTTAAAATTACTAATGACTAAAAGGGCGAAGAAATTTTTGATATCGAGGTATTAATTAATCTAATTTGTGTGGAGGAAATTAATTAGATTTATGTTCATTGATTCCTTTATTGAATGTTAGGTAACATGAATGTTAGGTAACGTACATCAAAGCCTGAACGACCATTCACATATTGTCTATATAAATGCAATGCTCCTTGCTATCATCAGAATCAAATCCAGAGAAGTTGAAAAAATTAATATTATATATTGAAACCAGACTCTCTTTTCTCCATGGCATCTACTAACACAGTGAAAATACTGGAGGTCTTTGAGGTAGCTCCACCCTCGGACTCAACCCAGGAATTCTTTCTTCCTTTCACCTATTTCGATATAGCATGGCTAAAATTCCCAGCAACTGAGGACCTCTACTTTTTCAAACTAGCTGAAACTGAATCAACTTCAACATATTTTCACTCAAAAATTGTCCCTACCCTCAAACATTCACTCTCACAAACTCTCCTCCATTTTCTCCCTCTAGCCGGCCACCTAACTTGGTCCTCCGATCAATCCTCCGAACCCATCTTTGTTTTCACCCCAAATGATGCTGTATCTCTCACAGTTGCTGAATCCAGCGGTGATCATGATGACTTTGATTTGTTCACAGGAAATGGAGTTCGTGAAGCTGGTAAATCATATCCTTACCTACCCAATTTGCAGGCATCAGATGCAAAAGCAGCATTACTCGCTTTACAAATCACATTGTTTCCTAATAAAGGCTTTTCTATTGGCAAGGCTTCACATCACGCAATCCTTGATGCACATAGTGCATCCATGTTTCTCAAAGCATGGGCACATGTGTGCAAACACTGCTGCGAGAAAGGCAAAATCCCTTATTTACTGCCGCCCGAACTAACACCTTGTTTTGAAAGGACAAAAATCAAAGACCATTTTGTTTTTGACTCTGCCTATTTGAACCAGCTGTGGCCAGCTACGACCTCTGCAAATTCAGACTTACCAACAAGAAGCTTGAAACCATTGCCAAGTCCATTGCCACCCAACCTATATAGAGCAACTTTTCAGTTGACTCGTGAGGACATTAAGAAACTTAGAGAAATAGTACTCTGTTATCACCAGTTAGCAGCAGGACCAAATCCCATAAAACAACTTCATCTCTCCACGTTTGTACTTACTTATGCTTATGTCTTTGTTTGCATGGTGAAAGCAATATGTGGCGATTGTAAGAGAGAGACTTACATGTCGTTTTTAGTGGATTGTAGGACCCGTTTAGACCCTCCATTGCCACCAAATTATTTTGGTAATTGTCTTGTTAGACAATACTTGGTTACAGAAGCAGGAGTTTGCATGGAAGAGGATGGATTTGCTATAATTTCAAAAAAACTTGGTGATTTGATAAAAGGGCTAGAGAAGGATCTTTTTGAAGGAGCAAAAGAGAGAATGGCACTGTTGCGTGGTTTCGGACCAGAAGTGCTACAGATTTTGGTAGCTGGATCGACAAGGATGGATTTTTACAAGCTGGATTTTGGGTGGGGAAGAGTTGAGAAAGCGGAGGTTACATCTATTGACAGGACAAAAGCTATTTCAATGATGGAAAGTAGAGATGAAAATGGAGGTATCGAGATTGGTGTAGTCTTATCTAAGCAAGAAATGGCGGATTTTGCTTCGTACTTCTGTAATGGCCTAAATCGCGAGCAGCCCAAACCATGATCAATTGTTTACGATTTTCTTTCCTTTTGCGAACTTAATAAATGATCTGCTATCTCCTTATATTATTTTCTTGAATTGTGCGCATGGAGGTCTGAATTCCATATTTGAATTGTTCTACATCTTTTGCTTCCCACAAGCTTACCAAACAGTCCAAGCTTTGATGCATGGCAAGCATCTTTCAATAAGTAATACTCGTACAGTCTGTTTTGCGCCACACAAATCTTTGTTGTAACAAAATATCTTCAACCATTTAATACGAGAGATGATGGGATGCCATAGTATGGTAGTATCATATTTGCCACCTATCATGCCCTTTTTACATTTTGGTATTTGAACATTCAATCAATCACATAAATATTTTCATAATAGAAATTATTTAATGAGATTTATATGATGTTTTCAAAAAAATTTAAAATCATTTTAAAATTATTTTTTATTTTTAATGGTAAAATAATAATATATATAGTTTTTGATTTGTAAAAATTCTAGAATTGTTTTACAAAATATATTGATTTTTTCTGAATGTTTGTGCAAAATTTCAGCTCAAAATGCAAAGAATTGAATTTTTAGAAGAAAAGATGATGGCTGAAAATTATTGGATTAACTACATTTTAAAAATTTAAAAGTTTATGGATCCCCAAAACAAATAAAAAAATTTAAAAACTCAATTTCAAATGACTTGAAGCTCATAAATATTATATTTACCATCTATCGTGTCTTTTTACATTTAGTGTTCACATATATTATATTTATCACTTGTCATGTCTTTTTACACTTTAGTACTTAAACTTTCAATTTTCTTATATATTTTTTAATCTAATTCGTGATGAATACACGAGGGTGTGTAGTTTAAAGGAACCGGGTTATGCAATTCTTTATCTAATTCAGATAAACAATGTAAGCTTTATGCTAAAACAATATCTAACCTAGCGTCAAGGCTACTGATAGATTAAAATTTAATTTTATACATTTCTCCTGTAACGTTACTCCTAAATTTGGCGCTATATATATTAATTTTACATATAGTTTGAGTTATTTTTAAGGAACGACCTAAAGAGAGCAAAAATAAGCATTTGAAGATAAAAAAGAGATATTTTGGAGCCTTATTCTAGAGGAACTAGTGTGCCAATTCAATTTCCAACTCGGATTTTTTGGGATTAGGATTCTCACTTCCTGACAACTTGGTTAGTGTTCGGTTTTTCAGTCGTAACTTGAGCCAGAGACATCCGGTTAAGGAGATTCAAAAAACGATGGAAAGCTAATATCCTAGACTCAACGTTACTGTTTATGATTTGAACTAAATCTGCTATTATCTGGGTCAGAATTTTGAAGTTTTCAACGCCAGATTTACGATGCTTATTTAGTCAATGCCTTTCTTATTTCAATCAGAACTCCAGTAGGGCTCAAAGGCTAATATAAGAGGACGATTTAAGAGATTTAGGCCAGAGGTTAACAGCTAAAAAATAAAATAAAAATAAAAAATAAAGCAGCAAGGACTATATGGCTACTCAACATTTAAGGCACTTTTAAAAATTAGGTTTTATGTATATCGAGATACTGGTATAATTTGAATTTTTTTTATTGAGATCTTAAATTTTTTTCGTCCAATTTAAGTAGTCTATTCTTAATTTTTTATTGTTTTATACCCTAATATTCGACGTAGACAAACGTGACAAGATCTATCCAATGACAAATTGACACATGGTAAAGCAGGCCTAATTTGATTTTTAATGAAAATTAAAAAAAAATTTCTGATGAATTTTTAATTATTTAAGTAATAACAAACCTAAAAATAGGTTATGAAAATATTAATCCACCCTTACCCACTAAACCCAAAAATTCCCCAAATTCCACCCTCTCTCCCTATTCGTTTCAGTTTTTCTGCTCGTTGCTTCTCTTTTTCCTCTACCTCCAATTGCAATAAGCCAATTTCTTCTTCTCCTTTCCTAATTTCGCAAAAAAAACTAAAATCTCTCCTCTTCAAAGCTCGTGGTTTCCTTGGCTTAGCCACCACATCAATCGTCGATGCTTCCTTCTCCACTACAACCACTCCCAAATTAACCATAGCATCATCAACAGCCATGGAAGAACTCAAGACCCATGTCTGCAGAATCGAAAGTGAACCCACAGCACACATTGTAGCAATCTATGCTGCTTGAGCAGAGCTAATGCCCATCTTGTTTGAAGGGTGGATGGCAAATGATATCACCCCCGGAGGCCAGCTTATGACCACAATTGATGTGGAAAATTTCCCTGGTTTCCTTGAAGGAATATGGGTGGTGAGTTGACTGGCAAGGTTATCTGCTCATTTTGGGACCCAAATCTTTATTGAAACGGTTTCAAAAGTGAATTTTTCAATAACCCCATTTGAGATTTTCACTGATTCTAAACGTGTTGTTGCTGATTCATTTATTATGGCTACTAAGGTGGTGGGGAGGAAGCTGAATTTTGAAGGGTCAAAAAAGTTTTGGAATAGAGGGATTTCGGCTTACATTGTATGTGACGGGGATGCCCCTATTTTTAGGGAGAAGGCATTTACTGTGATTGGAGGAGGGGATTCAGCAATGGAGGAAGCCAATTTTTTGACTAAGAGTGGTCGAAAGTTTATATTATCTTTAGGACGAATACATTTAGGGCATTTAAGATAATGCAAAGTAATGCATTGTCGAATCCAAAGATTGAGGTTATTTGGAATTATGTAGTGGAGGAGGCTTATGGAGAAAGGGTTTTAGGTGGGCTTAAAGTGAAGAATGTGGTTACTAGGGAGGTTTCGGATTTAAAGGCTAATGGGGTTGTTTTTCACTATTGGACATGAGCCTGCTACAAGGCCTTTGATGGGCATTGGAGTTGGATTCTAATGGGTACGTTGTGACTAAACCGAGGACTACGAAGACTAATGTTCATGGGGGGTTTTTGCTGCTAGTGATGTTCAGGATAAGAAGTATAGACAGGCTATTATTGCTACTAGAACAAGTTTTTTAGGAAAGGAGAAGGAGAATTTGGCGTTGATTGAAATCGAAGGTAGGAGAGAGAAGAAACGAGGAGTAAAAACTGAAATGAATAGGGAGAGAAGGGGGGGGGAATTGGGGAATTTTTAGGTTTAAAGGGTAATACCTATGTTTAGGTTTATTATTACTTAAATAATTAAAAATCCATTAGAAATTTATTCACTTTCGTTAAAAATCAATTTGACCTTACTATGCCATATGTCAATCTATCATTGAGTATATCTTGTCATGTGTGCTTACGTAACATATTAGAGTCCGAAACAATAAAAAATTAAAAGTATAACACTTAAATTGGATAGAAAAAAAATTAAAGGTCTTAATAAAAAAATTCAAATTATACAGAGTCTCCATATGCGTAAAACATTTTAAAAATTCTAATTAAAATAAAGGCTCTCAGTTGCTGGGAATTTTAGCCATGCTATATCGAAAAAGGTGAAAGCAAGAAAGAATTCCTGGGTTGAGTCCGAGGGAGGAGGTACCTCAAAGACCTCCAGTATTTTCACTGTGTTAGTAGATGCCATGGAGAAAAGAGAGTCTGATTTCAATATATAATATTAATTTTTTCAACTTCTCTGGATTTGATTCTGATGATAGCAAGGACCATTGCATTCATATAGACAGTATGTGTATGGCCGTCCAGGCTTTGATGCATGTTACCTAACATTCAATAAAGGAATAGATGAACTTAAATCTAATTAATTTCCTCCACACAAATTAGATTAATTAATACCTCAATATCAAAAATATCTTCGCCCTTTTAGTCATTAGTAATTTTAGCTGTTTTTATTTTCTCTTTCAATTATATTCCCAATAACGTTCCTAGGGTAAAAAAATAAATAAATAAATAATGAGATGTAATTGGTTTCCATATTTGAATTGTTCTACATCTTTTGCTTCCCACAAGCTTACCAAAACAGTCCAAGCTTTGACGCATGTCAAGCAGCATTCCATAACTAATCTTCGTTCACTCTGATTTCCGTGTCACAAATCCTTGTTGTAACAAAATATCTTCAACCACTTACTACGAGAGATGGGATGCCAACCATTTGTCTGATTAGTTCTCCAGAAGCCGCCTTTACTCATAGTATGGCATTCAGTTATTCTTGTTGTTTCTTTTCCCTAGTACAAATATAACCTAACTAACTTTCCACCATTACTTGGTTTTCAATGAAAAGTAGATAAAGATTGTAAACAGTATTTACTTTTAGTAAATCTAGCATAATTTTTTGTCTTTTGTTTTTTTTTTATTTGATCCATTAAACCATCGTGTCAAAGTAATTATTACATTACAAGAAAATTGAAAAACAGCTATGGATTTTTTCATCGCTATATGGTAAAAATACGTCGTTGTTTTTCCTTAGCGATGAATTTGCAACACACTTTCTATAGCAAAATTCATCATTGCTAATTTTTTAGTGATAATTTTTTTTTCTTTTACTACTTAGTGAAGGCTAGTCCATTAGTAATGTGTAGAAATTTCATCGTTAAAACATAATAAACGAATCATCCGCATGGTCTCATATTTGTTGTAAAATCATCGCTAATTCACTATTTTTGTTGCTGAATAGTGATGAAAATTATATTAGTAAATTGTTCTCACTAAAGGTTGTTGCAAATTTTTCGCTAAATCCATGAGTATTTAGCGATCGTAATAGAGTTTGTTGCAATTTTTGTTGCTAATTCGGTCACTAATCCATCGCTAAATGAATAAAATTTTAATTTTTTAATATAAATTAATAATCATTTAATGTTAAAGGTAATAACAAACAACTAAAAATAATACCTTATTAAAAACGATATATTATTTAATATAATTAAAATAATATAAATTGAAGTCAAATAAATATATAAATGCATTAAAATGTATGAAAACATTAAAAAATTTAAAGAAAAAGAAATATAATCCTCATCATTTGCTACATCATCTTCCAGTTGTCATGTATTGAGAAAAATAATTGACTCTTGGGTTGTGGGGGTTAGCTAAAAGGACACGAGTCTACTGCTGGTCTCATAACAACCTTATCATTGTTTGCATCCGACTCCATAAAGGGTCGAATTGATTAGTTTGTTCTTAGATGATAATCTTCATCCCTTTGATCCTATCTTCGTATTGAGCAGAAACCTCCTAGATATTACCATTAGGATACCACGAAGTGGCAGAGGAGGAGCTAGTGCCAAAATAGAAGTAATACTAGGACGCTTGTGTTCCAAGACCGTACACTCTCTGCTTTTTCTTTTCTCCTACAACATCCAAACATATCTTGGAAATGCTAATGTTTGGAGATGATGAATTACCCTTTTGTTGCTCTTTAACGAGTTGTTTCTTGCATTGACTACACGCACTATTACGTCATTGAAATAATTATAATATTCAATCATAAATATATTTTTAGATTATATTAATAGATGTATATTTATAAAAATAAAAATAAAAATAACCTACCATTACCGTCCGGGATTGCTTGTCGACAAATGACCCAACTTTCTCGCTTGTGAGTGATGACAAACAACTAGTAAATATTTGGATTACAATCAAATTTATTATACTAAAAAAAAAGGACAAAATAATATAATGTAATAAATATAAAAATTAACTTATATATCAAAATGGATAATAGGATTTATCAAACGTTTAGTGTACTCAATCAAAGAGATGGACCCCTTAGTATTCCCGGATAGGCCAACACCGATACTACCTATCTTCAACATGCGGTTTTGGATCGCATGTTGAGATCGGGCTTGAAACTTAAGTATGGCCCAATCCTAGTGTCATGCTTGTCACACTAGTTGTTTAACATATGTGAGTCTATCATTCATGTTCTTTAGTTTGTTCAATATATCGCTGCACCACCTCACTGGTCACATCTCATAAAAAGTACTTCTACTTGAGGAAAAATAAATATTAGTACATTTCATATTTAATTAAAACTTTAAATGAAAAATAATCAAATAATTCTAATTCAAACCTAATTAATTTAAACCAAATTCAAACCTAATTAAATTTAACAAAAAGTTAATTAATAATTTTCAATATAAAGAAAATTAAAAACCAATCAATTAATCAAATTTAACCCAATTAATTGATGAAACCTAAATCAAATTAACCTAATTAATTCTAATTCAAACCTACTTAAATTTAAACCTAAATAAAATTAACCCTAATTAAATTTAACTAATAATTACTTAACAATTTTCAATAAAAATAAAATTAAAAATCAATCAATTAATCAAAATTAATCTAATTAAACTAAAAATTAATGAAAAAAGTAACCTAACAAGTAACCAAAAAAAAAATTAACAAATTAATTAACAAAATAACAATTAAAACTATATAAAATTAATCAAAATTAACAAAATAACCTAAAAATTAAAAAAAAAACTATTTAACAAATTAATCAACAAATTAACAATTAAAATAATATAAAATTAATCAAAATTAAAAAATTAATCTAACAATTAACAAAAAATAACAATTTAACAAATTGATCAACAAATTAACAATTAATAAAGTTTCAATTAATTAATTAATTAAATCTAAATCAAACCAACAAATTAATAAGAATTAACATACTTAATTAATTAAACATAAATCAAGTCAACCAATTTATCAAAATTAACTAAATTAATTAATTAAACCCAAATCAAGTCAACCAATTATTCAAAATTAACCTAATTAATTAATTAAACCAAAATCAAACAAAAAATTCATCAAATTTAACATAATTAATTAATTAATTAAACCTAAATCAAACTAACCAATTAATCAAAATTAACTTAGTTAATTAATTAAACAAACATTTCATTGCATTTGAAATGTAAATCAATGTGAATAATACTTTCGATCTATCTTGGCTCTAGGTTGAGAGTGTTATAAACAATGTATCAACGCATATCAACTATCATATTAACAACTATGCTAAGATGACATGTCAATATATCAAACAAAATTTATGGACATAAACCTACTAAACAAAATTGCTATGCCTAAGCCTGAATCCTATAACAGTGGCCTTCATTATATATGAGAATATTTAAGCATAGTGAAATTAGCGTTTATTGCTTGTTTGGTATTAATGTGCTTTTAAAGTACAATAATGCTTTTGGTTTAAAAGTAGTGTTTATTAATACCTACTTTGTTTTCTTAAAAAAAAGCACAATAAAAAGAAATTGCTTTGGTTTTGAAACAAAGCATCTATCTTATTTTATTTTATTTTTATAATTAAAATGATAATTTTTTCCATTTTTTTTAAAATTACATTAATATTCTATTTCCAAATCCTTATTTGAAATGATAATGCTTTTGGTTTAATTTTATTTTTTAATTTAATATTTATTTTCATAAAAAAAATATGTTCACATGTTATGTAAGTTTAAAAGTCATAAATCATTTAATAAAAATAAAATCAATTTCTTTAAATATTTTTAATACAGTTTTAATTTATTGATCATTTTATATCTCAAAAGTATATTAATATAATTTAATCAAATACTATTTTTATCTTATAGTACAAAACAGTAACTAATTACAAAATATTATTTTTATCCAAGAACATTACATCGAATAGCACAAAAGGACCGTAATTTCTTCCTATTACACAATTGATTAAAAGGAAGCCCGATGACCTCGTGGGTCTATCATTCTGGGTCATCTTTTCGAGTCACAATATTTTGAGCCCATATCATGTAAAATACACGTAAAATACATATGCAAAAGAGCCCATTCCATGCCTGTATAATTTCCTTTTTCCTTTTCTATCTTCTTTTTCCCGTGAACCAAGCACTTACTTTAAGTTACATCACGAGAATAAACATTTCAAAGAATATACATTTCAAATCAAGAACCGATTAGAAGAAATCAAACACATTTTTTGTTTTTTAAGAATATACAAGTTGGCCAACGAGAATCCCTTAACTTGCATCCATAATCCATTCCTTCTACAAAGAGTTTCATGTTCTAATTTCTCCATTATTAAAAAAAAAAAAATTCATATAAAGTCAAAATTAAGAGCACAAGTGCACAAACATGCTCGTTGACATTTTGATCAAATTAAACATTAAGTAGAACAAAATATGACCACAATTGATAGACAATAAGTAGAGCAAATTGACACAAGATATTCTCTCTCGAAATTAAAGGGCTAAAAAAGAAGGGACATAAGAAATTTAATTCCCTCGAGGAACAAAACAGAAGATATCCTCTTGAAATGCTTCATTCTAGGCACCTCAAGATCCCACATGCAATTATTCTTTATGCTTTCAAGCTCTCACATGTTATAGTCTGCATGTCACAACACAACCTGCAACGTCAAAAATAGATCAAAACAAACTATGAATTAATGTTTTGCTAATAAGTTGAATATTTTGTCAAAATTGACTAAAAATTATTTATATATTATAGCAAAATTCTGAAGATTGAAGGTAGCTACCTAATTAATTAAGCAGGACACTTGAATCCTGGAGGAGGGGTCTTGCCACAGTCAACAAGGACCTCAAGAGCAATGGGTATGATAAGATTGATGTTGAGAAGTTTAGCTTTAATGGTGGTGCAAAGACATAAAGCAGCATCCAAGTCCACAAGACCTTGAAGCACTGGACAGCATGCATCCTTAGCACTACTGCCAATACCAATGTGGACTAGTCCACCTAATACATCGACACATGCACCTAGCTTGAGAGTGTCAATGGGGCAAGTCTCTTGCTTTGGTGGTGGGCATGGTTTTTCTGGTGGCGGTGGAGGAGGACATGGTGTTTCAGGTGGTGGTGGCTTCACAATTGGCGGTGTTGGTATTATGGGAGGAGTCACTGGAGGCTTTGGTGGTGGAAGAGTTGGTGGTGTTGGTGGCTTTATTGGAGGAGTCACTGGAGGCTTTGGTGGTGTGGGTGGCTTTATGGGAGGAGTCACTGGAGGCTTTGGTGGAAGAGTTGGTGGTGTGGGTACATAGGGAGGATATACTTTGGGTGGTGGTACATAGGGAGGTTTCGGGGTATAGGGAGGATATACTTTGGGTGGTGTGGGTACATAGGGAGGTTTCGGGGTATAGGGAGGATATACTTTGGGTGGTGGTACATAGGGAGGTTTCGGGGTATAGGGAGGATATACTTTGGGTGGTGTGGGTACATAGGGAGGTTTCGGGGTATAAGGAGGATATACTTTGGGTGGTGGTACATAGGGAGGTTTCGGGGTGTAGGGAGGATATACTTTGGGTGGTGGTACATAGGGAGGTTTCGGGGTATAGGGAGGATATCCTGTGGGTGGTGGTACACAGGGAGGTTTTGGTTTAATGGGGGGATATACTATGGGTGGTTTGGGTACAAATGGAGGTCTTGGTTTAATGGGAGGATGTACAATGGGTGGTTTGGGCACATGAGGAGGTTTATGAACAACAGGAGGCTTAGGTGGGTTGGGTTTTGGTGGTTGAGGGTGAAATGGTGGCTTAACTTTGGGAGGGTGTGGTGGTGGCAACCTGGGAGGGTACTTTGGTGGCTTTACTTTGGGAGGGTGTTGTGGTGGTAACTTGGGAGGGTACTTTGGTGGCTTAACTTTGGGAGGGTGTTGTGGTGGTAACTTGGGAGGGTACTTTGGTGGCTTAACTTTGGGAGGGTGTTGTGGTGGTAACTTGGGAGGGTACTTTGGTGGCTTAACTTTGGGAGGGTGTGGTGGTGGTAACTTGGGAGGGTACTTCGGTGGCTTAGACGGAGGAGCTGGGTAAGGGCAATAGGGACAAGCAAGTGAAGTAAGCAAAGTGCCCAAGTTCAGGAGGAGGATCAAGAGGTTAGCCAGAGAAAACTTAGCCATTTTGGTTTTTCTGTCACTGAGTTCTCCGTGAACATAAAGCTCAAGCAATGCATGCTAGCCTTATTATAGACATGTGAGGTCTAAAAATTCATACTTTCAGTCCAATATTGTATCGCAACTTTTGTCACTATTGATTGACTTAACAGACACCACTGATGAATTATTCAATTGGTTTCATTATCAGATTGGATTCTGGACAACTATACTGCAATTTATGATATCGACATTTTCACTTTTAAGGACAAAGGAATAAAAAAAACACGGTTTCGGATAGAGGACATTTTTAACATATAGTGCCTTGTTGTGCCCGTGATTGGCTAAGGCTGCTGGAAACAATGTGAAAAAAAATAAAATAATAAAAATAAATCACTTTTTATGTTTTGGGATTATCACGTATAAAGTTTTGATATTCAGTTTATTGACAAGAGCCTGTAAGTGGCATAGTAAGAAAAGAGTATCAAAAGTTTGATTTTCACTTCAGAAAAACTTTTTTTTTTTTTTTAACATTAAACATGAATAAATGGCGAATTTAAAGAGTCCAGTTTCTAAAATTAATCCAACATTAGACGTGATCTGATGATAATACAGTTTAGAGTGAGCATTTAGTATTCAATGATGTGAATGCTAGCTCAAGAAAACTTTTATATATATATATATATATATATATATATATATATATATATTGAAATGTTGTATTTATGGTTTTGTTTTAATTTGGTGAATCTTAAATAATAAGGTAAACTTCTATATATCAATCAATATGTGAGTTAACAATTAAGCATGAAGTATGTAAGTTTTATATGAGTGAAAAATATTCTATTCGTTTAAATAAGTAGATATCGGATTTAAGTTCTTGTGCATATAAAAAACCTTTCTAAATAGCTATCTCTGTTTTATATATTCGGTAAAATAGTGAAAAATTAAATTAATCATAAACTTTTGAATCGAAGATATTATAGACAGATAAAAAAAAATAGTTTCCTCGTAAAGAAAGAAATCTTTATATAAAAACACTACATAAGAGGACAAGCCAAGCCTAGATATTTTTTTTCACTCTATGATTAACTTGTAAATCAATGTTTGCCTAATGAATCCAATGGTGTCGGCTATATGATTACAAACACAATTAAAACAGTGATAATTACTGGTTTGGTATATGCTTTTCTTGCATTAGAATCTCCAAACAATAAACGTGGCTTTGATTTTGCATAATTGAACGAAAGATAAAGGTACGTATAACCCATTATATATGGATCTGTTCTTTTGGCTTTTATTCTAACATCTTTTTATTATTTTCAATAAATTGTTTATCTTTACGACCTCGGAAAAGTCATATCATTTTCAATCTCTTTCAATATATATCTGCAATGCCCTTGTGCATAGAGGACCCACGTTGTGTGTGTATATATATATATATATATATTGAAATGATTTTTTTCCTTCTAAATTACTATATAATAAAGTGATACTACCCCACCACTATCTCCATGTTGCATGCAAGATATTTCGCATTTTATTTTGGTTTGATTTGGGGCTATATTTTATTCAAGCAGTAGTGAGATTAGGTTTTTAAAATAACCTTTTAAAAATGTTATTAACATCGATCTAAATAGTGAATCAATGGTTAAATCATTAGGTCAGTTGTATTACGTTATAAAAATATTTTTTATGTTATTCAAGAGAGATTTTTTGAATAGAATTTAGTCGTTCAAAATAAATAATTTTAAATTCAAATATTTATATATAATTATATAATTATATTTTAAATAATTGTATTTTTTAATGTTTAAACAAATAATAAAAAATCAATATAAATTTTTAGACCTGCCATAACCTGAGGATCCAAAAAAAAAAAAAAAAGGAGGGCATATTTTCTTACCTTAAAAGCATAAAACAAAAGGATATGAGATAATATGTGCATACCTTTTTGAGTTAAAGCATGAAAATATCCATAATAACCTCCTTCATCGAATGACGTGATAAGATTAAAAAAATTAAAGGATATAATAAATTAAAGGAACATAATGAACTAAATTATAATAATACGGAAATATTTTCATACTTTTAACTCATAATTTTTTAAGATAAAACTATCAAGTTCGAATTCTAGGATTTTTTTTTCAAATTTTATCAGATTTAGCTGATTTTAACGAAATCAGATCGGATCCTTTACCTTAACTTGGATCGATTTGATAATCGAGTTATCGAATTTCTGATTAGATCGGATTAGTTTGATCGGAGTTTAATGAAACTATCCCTTAGATTTAGAGCACAAGAAACCCAAGTTAGTCATACAGCAAACTTGGTAAACTATCCCTACTTGAAAGAAGTGCCAAAGACATGGCAAATGGCCCACAAAGACGGCAGATTGCGAATTTTTTTACTTTGGACAGCGACAAGACTAGGTCTGTCACAAAAAGGCATGCCCAATTCTTTTGCCATTTCCGCATTTCGGTCGTCATTTTTTTCTCCGCTGTCATTCTTATTCAATTATCCAAAAACGAGTAAATTAGAAATTGGTCCCTCTACTTTTAATAAATTAACTAGCAAATCTCTTTTATTTTAAAAATTAATTAATTAATTAATACTTATTTTTAAATCTACTCGTAACTTAAACATCTTTTAAATTTATATTTATTTATTTATTAAAAATTGACAAAATATGGAAAAATTAATAAGAAAAAAATATTTTATAGAATAAAAATAATATTAAATTAAACATAGTTAACACTAGTTAAAAAAAATTAAATAATAGTTTTTGAAACTATGGATACTAATTAATTCATTTTAAAAACTAGAGGAACTAATTTATAAATTAATCTTTTTATTTATCTTGATTTTTTATTTTTAAAATAGAAAAAATATGAAAATATTAATAAAAAATATTTTTAGAATAAAAATAATATTAAATTAAATATTATCAATACTGATTAAAAGACTGAATAACGAGTTTTTAAAACAATGGTACTAATTAATTCGTTTATTAAAAAGTCAAGGAACTAATTTATAATGTACTCTCCAGAAACATATAGATTCAATTATTAGTTCATCTAACAACTGAAAAAAATGTCTTTCATCTAATTGAGATTGAGTAAATTATAAATCAATCCTTCTATTTTTCAAAAACAAAAAACCAAAAAAAAAAAATTTGTTAGTTTTTCTTGTTTTAAAAACTAATGATTTAATATTTTTTATCCATTTTATGTTTTTTAATCTTATTTTTAAATAAAAATAATAAATAAATAAATATCATAGAAAGATTGATAGAAAAAAAAGATATTTTTTGAATTAAATAATATTAAATTAAGTATGATCAATATTGATCAAAAAATTAAATAATTAATTTTTGAAATATAAGGTATTAATTAATTAATTTCTCAAAATTAAAGAGACTAATTTATAATTTACTCCAATGAGCTTCTCCATCCCCCCACAAATGACACTAACTAGTGATTGAGATCCAACGCATGTGATTTCCAGCTTGTAATGAATTATATTTCATGTCATTTAATGCAGCTAATCGAGGAGATAAAGAAATTTTATAATATACGGAAAGTAATTAGTAACATGTACGGTAGTTACTCTTTGGGTTCACTTTGAAGAGAGAGATAGACACACAAAAAGAGAGAGAAAAATAGGAGAGAGAAAATAAAAAAATTTGAGCGGACATGAAAATTTTCTTATCACTTTTTATGGGTATGGATGTAATTTCTCTCTTTTTTATGTGTCTATCTCTCTCCTCAAAGTGGATCCAAGGAGTAACTACCGTATATACCACTAGTTACTCTTTGTGTATTATAAAATTTTCTAAAGAAACATTGAAATTTTATTTTTGCCTTTTATCGAGTTGTACTTACATTGTACGCGTCAATTTAATGCAGCTAATCGTTTATGGTTTAAAGTCATATTTTACATACAAACTATTAGAGTTATGTTAAAATAAAGCATGAATTATCAATTTAGTTTATTATGATCTCAAATTATTATATTTAGAACAAATTTTGTTCTTTTCTATTTTGTTTAATAGCCAAAATTTTAATTGTTAATTGAAAAAAAAAACTTGAATAACTTTCATTCATCTAGCTAGGCTCAATTTGTTTTTTTTTTTTTTTTGTAATTACTAAATAATTTAAATGTAAAAAAAGAAAAAAAATTAAAATGATTTCGTTTCAAATATTTTATTGAACGAGTTAAAATTTTGACAATCAAACATAATGAAAAATCACAAAATTTGCTTGTCGCCTTAACATTTTAGTTAACGGTCAAAATTTTAATAGTCAAATATAATAAAAAAGACAATTTGCCTTAAAAAATAATAATATTTTGAGGGTTGAAATGGTCAAACTTTATATATTGTTCAAGTCTTATTTAGCCACAACACCAATAATTATGGCTAAAATTTATTTTGATCTTGGGGATTTTGTTGATCTTGATGTAAAAAAAGAAGTGCATAGTCCCAAATTTAATAAATCCAAGAGGATATTCCGTTAAAAAATTATTTCAATCCAAAAGTTTAAGTTGTTAGGTGAGAACCTATAAATGGTTTTATACTACTTTTTAATACTTACCCTTAAGTGAAAGCCTTTTGGGTTTGAAAGTTGCATATGTCCACACTACTTTGTGCTTAATTAATTAGAAGAGAAATAAAGATGGTAAGATTCGAGCTCGAGATTGTTTAGTTATCAAGACTCGATATCATATAGAGTTTGATAGTTGAGATTAAGTTTCATTTAAAAGATTTAAGCCTTATTTTGAGTGGTCATTTCTCAAATTTATATTCACCACAAGGAAATTGGCAATTACCGACGGATACTATTTCGTCTCTAATTGGAGACAAATTAACAAGAGGCGACAGAAGAGAAAAAAGGTTATTTTTGTGAGTGACTAGGGACGGAATGGCGAGGGATGCTCAACAACAAAATTAAATCCGTCGCTAAATAACGCGATAAAAAAAGCATCATGTTCGGCGAAGGAATAACAATGGATTTTCGTCATTGATT